ATCCCTCCTGGCCATGCCTGCAGAGATTTTTATGTCCTGTTTATGGGACAAAGGTCTCCTACTGGGATCAGGGCTTGATTCACAGGATCTCTTGTGATTTCACTAGACATGTGGCATTATTTGAACTCAGGTTTTCCTTTTTGCAGTTCTTGTGGGTTATGATAGTAAATATATCTTCAGCAGTTATCATAGTGTTTTATGAGGGATGCAGTGGCAGTTCAGTTGATGTGCTGGACACATGAAGTGTCATGGTTGCTGCAGTCTGCATTTCATGAGGATTACATACTAAAAATCTCTCCTTTTGAGAAGGAAAACAAATAGGACATACGTTAAATGTGATTGATAAAAGACAAGACTCTAATCGGTGTGTATATATATGGAAAAACTGGGAGAAAATTAAGTAGATAATAAAACAGAACTAAGATTACCAGCAGGGCAAGAACTACAGCTACAGCTCATCTCCACAAGCGAGTGAAAACACGTCTATCCTGTAATCCTGGGGGCTGGTGGGAATCCAAGTGCATGATAAATGTGGTTTGTCTGTTTTTTCTTAAAGTCAGCATCTCAGGACTTTGTTGTAGCATACAGTCAGCAGGATCATGGCAGTCTGGGTTGTTGTTGTTGGATTGAAAATGTCACATTCATCACTGTATTCATTTTTCATTGCGCTGTTATATACTTAGTGGTTAGTAAGGCATTTACCTCTGTTTTGAATCTATAAGGAATTCCAAGCACTGCATTACTGGAAATTCATGTAAACTCCTTGGTAAAAATGGGTAAAAGCTAAGGGTCTGCAGATGTCCATTTTAGGGAAGCACATTTTAAATGTAATAAATGCCCAGGAATCGTAGCAGATCGTGTTGTATCAATCGGTGCTGGGCAAGATGTGAGAACGGGCCTTTTGAAGAGGTTCCAGAGGAGCGTACTGCAGTTTGGGATGGTGGCAAGGAATGAAAAAAAAATTCAGCAGATAAACTGAAGGGAACGTATCTTTGGTTCAATTTGTAAACATTTGTGTTCATTTCCAAAGTGCTGTTTCACCTGCGTGGAGAGAGAGGTGCCTGTGAAGTGTAAATACATGGTGGGTGTTTTAACAAGGGAAGTACACCATCCAAAGAGGTATTTCATACCATTACATAATGATGCATTATTGCATTGTGGTGCCATTCACCGCCTTTGTAATCATTCAGAAATAACACATCGGTTCCCATGCTCAGAGCTTCGTAACCTTGGTTAATCCTTGCATCGTGAGACGGCCGTGGCAGTAAATCTCACTGTAGAGGTGTGCCTGATCGGGGCTGGATACAGTCCCAAGGCACGTACGGGGTTGCGCATGCCGTGCTGTGTAATGTCTACGTGTGCATTTGAGATGCCCGTGTGCCTGTCCCCAGCAGAAATTCTGGGTGAGGACATGAGCACCTGCACTGTACAACCCGCTTGCCTGAGGCAAGCAAGGTGGAGCTGTGTCTGGTGTCCCCGCACGCATGCTGTGGTACAGGCACTTGCTCAGCCCCACCAGGTGGGGTGGAAAGGCTGCTTTTAACGTAAGGAACGGGTAAAAATATATATATGCAGAGTGGTAGTGAGGAGGTAATAACGCTGAAAGATTTTTCTTGGCTCTTTTAGAGATAGTGGTACAGGCCAATGCTTTTAGCCTAAGGCAAGCCAAAGAGAGATGTGACGAGAAGAATGGAAGGCAACGGGGAGAGGCGAGATGGGGCGGAAGGAGTAAACATTTCACCTGCGCAGCTGGGACCAACCACAGAACGAGGTCAGGCTGGTTTAGGTAACCAAAGAAAAATAAGGCTAATGTTTAGACAGTCTCCCTGCAACAGGATGTACAGCTGCTAAGTACACCCATTTACCGTATTTGTAACATGCATTTTTCTGTTGGTGATGATGTAATACAGCAGTGGGCTCTGGCCTGTGTCAGGGCAGGAGCATACTCCCCTGCTCCTGGGAGTTTAGCTCTGTGCTCAAGGCTGGCTGGCTGGCTGATAAAACATGCCTTGGCCAGCCTGGCAGCTTTTAAAGAGAAGGAACCTTGGTGGGGGCTCCCCCACTTTTTCTCGGGAGGTGCTTTTAGGCTGAGGCTCTTGCATCTGGCCCCCGCCTGAGCTGCAACCCCAGGGGTGTCACAGCCCTGCCTGTGCCTGGCCTTGGGGACCACTGACCCGGCCTCCGGCTCTTGCTGTGTCCTGAGAGCCCGGACCAGTGCTTCTCCCCTCACAGCATCTGAGGCACGGGCATGATTGAGCTCTGTTGAGCTGGCCACCCATTAGTGCTTAACATCCTAAACCTTTTTGGAATTGGATATTCGGTATTGGGACAGATGTTAGCGGCTCATATTTACAATTTTAAATTGTATTCAGACGTTTAGAGATAAAAGTCAGAAAAGTAATTTTAGTTCTGCAGGTTACAGAGGACAATGCTAAAAGACCAATCAATTGATTTTTTTATTTGCTGTCAGCTTGGTCGCCCACGAATATCAAGATTCTTCCTATTAAGTTTGTAAAATCATTCCACTTACCCATTTTCTTCATGCAGTAGCTGTATCACATCCTTCTGATCCATTTGATTTGCTGCATAGTTGATATTTTTAGTACAGTTCTTCCAAACCCAGTCCTTTGGAGTACTGGTTTTCTCCCTGGAATTGCTGGCAGGAACTTTTCATCTCTGACTTACAGCAGGTGTTCAACAGTGTTTTGGTAAGTGTATCCCAGGCAGTAAGTATACAAAGGACAATAGGAGAGTGCTATAGCCATGACGGTCTAAAAAGGTAAGTGAGGTTGGTCTGTAGGAAGATGAAATACGTTGTCTAAGGCCCACCTGATGCAATTAAAATAGACATATACTTCAGAGATCCCAGGGCTTCCCCAGATCAGTGGGGAATTCCTACATAGCTGAGGGGCCACCTAACAATTTCTATTGACCTTAGCAGCCCTCCTGGGTCAGATTCAGAAACCCTGTGACCTCAGACTAGGTAAACTACATTGTAGTTAATGACTTCACGCTCCAACTTTCATCTGATCAGTGCTTGAATTCGTAAGGGGTAAGGACTGAAGCCTAGTGTCCATGGTTTATTAGCACACTGTCCTTGCGATTTTAACACATATGCCTGTATGAAGAAAATGACTTTGTGTGTAGTCTGAGGGCTTCTTTCACCACTTTTCGTTTAGAGCAGTTTTTAACAGAGTGTTTTGCTGGAGTAAGAAGCTCAGCATAAAACTCTAATAAAGCCAAACTTGAAAGACACCAATTTTTCCTACAGCAGTGACACATTACATAAATAAACCACTGTGTTATCCAGTAAGAGAATAGTTTTCTCAGGATGCAGGTCGCTGCCATCTGCCCTTTATAGAAGGGAGTTTTTGTATATGGTTGCTGGGGGAGGGAACTTCTCCAAACCCAGCAGCTGGCAATGGAAGTCTTCACCTCCCCATCTGCAGACCGCCCCTGAATTTCCCGGCATTTTGGAGCCCCCGTGGCTTGCCTCTGGGCTTGCGAGTCGTCTGGATGCTTGCGCACGCCACTTCTCTGGTCTGGCTTTCTCAGAGGAGGCAATGCATTCCTAGTGACTTGATCAGAGATGTAGGTTACAAAAGAAAATATGGCACAAAATATAATTTTGGATTGAGGTTAAGACGATTCTTCCTTTCCTGTCTCATTGTTCATCACCTGGGGCTCCTTAAGCATATCCAACTTGCAGGCACTGGGGAAGCAGGGTTGAAAGACACACTCTTTCTTTTACGTGACCTCCTTAATACTGGGTGAAAGATTTTACCACATTTTTTCTGGCAGAGTGTCCTGTCGTGACCAATGCAAATACAGTAATTGTGGCTTGCCTGAAGGATCATTATGCCTGAAATGCAAAATATTTCCTGGTTGTACTCTTCTTTTCTCGTTACAACGTTTTCCACGTGGCGTAACCAGTTGTCCCCTGCCCAGTCACTCTGCATGGCTCTCCTAGATCCCGAGCGTGTGACACCCTGTATGTTGTGCATCCAGCCATCACACTTGTTACCGGGTCTGCGACTTTTGGCACAGGATCAGCTTTCTGATACTTGACATGATCAGGCCTTTGTCTGCCCTGAGGGATCCTGAACACTGCCCATTGCCAGAGCGTGAGTTTCCGTCCTCTGACTGCCGCTCAGATCAGGACTGATCGTTGGACTCGAAGCACACGCTGTGCTCTGGCTTGGTCCCTCGTGGGGACACCGGGGACACGGGGGTGCAGCCGTGCTACAGAGCAGACCTGCCATGAGCAACCAACCCAACAACAAATAAAAAATCAATTAATTGGTCTTTTAGCATTTTCCTCTGTAACCTGCAGAATTAAAATTACTTTTCTGACTTTTATCTTTACACATTTGAACACAGTTTCAAATCCTTGCAAGAAATAAGAGCTGCTAACCTCCGTCCCAATACTGAGTTTCGAAGCTATATCCTTTCACAGCAATAGTCTCTATTACTTATGAAAAGTTATTTGTCAGGAAAGGTGTTATTTTATGAAGAAAATACACCACCATATTTTCATCTTTGGCACAGAATTATGAAGTGAAAATTACTATCCTCTAGGCAGTTTAATTGATTTGAAATGTTCCTCAGAAGACTTAGCTCCTATATAGTAGTCTCTGTATAGAATGCAGAATGCTTTAGAAAATAAAAGGAGAAAACGTGTTAAACACTCCTTAGCTGGCTACAGACATATACAGACATTTTAGATTAAAGAATCTTTTTGTTTTGTACCATAAGTAAAGAAAAACCTAAATCCCCTTGCTAAAATTAAGACAATCGCCGTACTCACTCAGAGCATGTGGAGATCGCTCTAGGTCTGTGCCCTCTTCAGGCATTCAGTTAAACATTTGCTGATTCGTTAAATTCATTCCTATTTAGCAAATAAACTTAAGCATGTTACTTCCCATGAAATCTGTGGGCTTAAGCTCAGACAAAATAAGGTCTCTCCTAATACTTCTCTAACTCAGCCTTTCCTGTCTTACGCTGGCGCTGTTTTGTGGGGTTTAGCGGCTCATACGGCGAGCCCAGGAGCAAAGGTCGCTCAGCACAGTGCTCTTCGCAGTCCTGGAAATAGAGGCGAGAGGGCTGTACGCTGACGGTGTCTGTGTAGCCCTGGCACAGCAAGGCTGGTTTAGCCGTGTACCTGCATCCGAGCCCGATGAATGCTCTTTCCTTTGAACTTCCAATGCACTTGGTTATGGCCTCTCTTTCCAGGCCGCATTTTGATTTTCCACACATCTTCCCTTCTTTTAATGCTTACCTGCCATCCTCTGCTGAAGCCACCCATGCCCAAGCTCTGCACTGTGCATCAGAGAGATCTTGCACGTAAGAAATCCCTGACACTAGCACTCGTTGTGTATTATATATTTGCATCCACACGTAATCTTAAAATTTCCTGGTTTGCAGTAACTTTGTAAACAATATTTTTCTCTGTTTTAGTGGCAATAGTCACATTTTTGTTACTTGAGACCATCTGTCAAATATAATTACTTAAAGCTTAACGTCTGCTCTACCACTTCCTGGTTTTAGCCTGATGCAGCCCAACCTGATTTCAAGGGTGTTACTTTTAGTTTATAGTAGTCAGTGCAGATCAACTGCATGGCATTCAGAGGGGCCGCAGTTCGGCAAACATTTTTTTTTTCCTCCTTTCCTCTGAGATGTCTGAGTTACCATATGCAGACTACGTCTGGTATCTGAGCTATACGGGGAAAACCTGGCAGGGCAGTTGTGCTGTGGAGGTTGTGGTAGAGGCAGAATTTAGCCAGGAACAGTTAGCTCTATCCCTACAGTTGTGTATCCATCTGTCCACCCGTGCTTTAGCCATATGTGCATTTTATCGTATCTGCTTGTCACTATATAATCATATTAACACCATTTCCCATAAACTGTAGACTGGCACTGGGATATGTTCACAAGTCTTTTTCTATACTATTATAAAAGTGCTTTTTAACAGCTTATGAACATTTTTTTTTTAAGCCAAAAGAACGTTTCCAAGCCATTCACACGTGCAAGAAGTGCTTTTATTTTTGCCTTAAGTGAAAGCCATCAAGGGTCTGTAAAAAGCTGAGCAGAAAATAGTGCTCTACCTTATAGCAGGCAGGAAAACCAGCTGGCGATCACGGCTCAAAAGTCCCGCAGTTAATAATCTTGCAGTCTACCGTAGGCCTTTCGTTATACGTAGGTACGGCTTCCAGTCTCTGGAGGACCTCCGTGCCCTCGATCAGTTGCCTACGGGAGGGAGAAAGTGCACATAGGATCTGTCTCTGTCTGGAGCCAGCTCCGCAGCCTCCAGCTTGTGTGGGGCCGTAAGAAGCCCAGGCACCAGTTTCCTACCAACAGGCTGCACCGGCTCTGCTCTTTGAAGAGTTGTTCTTTGCAATGGAGTGACAAACACCATCAGTTCTTGATTAAGTAGCCGCTAGGTAGCATTTTAGGAGAGATAAAAATGCTACGGCTTTATGCAGCTACACTTATTTAAAGAAACAAGCGTTTTACCATGTGCCCTGGCTACAAATGGCCATTACTTTTAAGGAGAAAGAAGTCAAGAGACACGCTGTCAGAAGTGACAGTTATTAGAAGTGACTCGCTGAGAAATCTTTCGTTTCCTGCCTTCACAATGCCAATCTGAATCCTGAAAACAGTCCAACATCTTGCAATCATTACGATTTTCAGCCTGTCCTGCTCCCACGCTGCAGGAGCACAAGCTGTGCCTCCTGCACACACAAGCACGGCGATGAATGCCAGCAGTGCTCTGGAAAGCTTCGTATCATATCCCACCCCATCCCACCCACCACAGTGGTACCAAGCGGGGAGGACACTGCAGGCAGCCCTTGCCCAAGCAGGGACGTCAGAAGGACTGAGCCAGTGCAGGGCTGGAAGGTGCCCGGCTGTCCTCATCCTACGCTGTGCCTGCTTTTTGCTCCCTCGGAATTAAACCCCCACTCAGCTTCAAGAGGGCCTGGCTATAAGGTCGTGGATCCCACACCTTTCAGATTACACAGAGCCGGTGGCAAGGCTGAAACTCGAGGTGAATGCTGCTAGTTATAAATATATCCGGCCAGCAATCGCTTTTGGTTTGTTCTCTGTAGGTGAGGCAGTTCAGCTTTTCGCTTCCTTTAAAAATGCTGTCTTTCACCATGACGTGGTTACATGGAAACTGCACTGTGAATTTCTCGCTCTCTGGTAATACATACATATTTTATTCTCTTACATCAAGCAAACTGCTCAGAGCAATAATCTTCCCTATTATATTCCTGAAAATCTAAAAATCTTAACAGGGCCAGCCCTATACATTGTCCTACTGAGAACAAACTCCCAGCATGCATTCGCTAAAATAATTTCTTTCAGCTCATGAGGGCAGAGCAGAGCCCGGAGGCTTTGCTCAACACCCCTCTGTCTGTCAGGGCCCACCTTCGGCTGACACCGAGCTATGCAGCCATCAATTTGTAGCCCTCATCCTGGAGAGGCCCCGGCAGCTTTGTCATAGGGTTTTCCAGCTTGAGCAAGCCAGGCCAGGGCAGAGAAAAGGAGGGATGGGTGTCATTAGGTACTTCAAACCTGAGTTATCCATCCTTCCCCTGGCCAGAGGCAGCGGCTGCCGTAGGGATTTCATGGACGCTTCCTCCTGGGCAGCTGTGTCCCGCGGGGCCAGGGCGACCTCTCACGCAGTGCAGTGGCAGCAAGCTTGTGCGTACCTACCCGAAAGCCACGTATTTTTTGTCCAGGTAGGGAGCTGGCTGGAGGGTGATGTAGAACTGCGAGCCGTTGCTGTGGCGGCCCTTGTTGGCCATCCCGAGGACCCCTCTTCCCTTGTGACGGACGGAGAAGCTTTCATCTAGGGAAAGAGTTCGGGGATGAAAGGCCGCAGTTGTGTTGCTCCCTTTGCTGCTATTCACCGTACAGGTCCCTTTTGCCGGCTCCCGCAAGCTCCCCTTTCCTTCTTCCGCGCTCTCCCTTTCCCTTCTCCTTTTCCCCCAAAGGTCTCATTGAGTCTCATGCGAGCCAAGTCTGGTTTGAATCAATGTCCTTCCTAGAAAGCGCTTCCCACTACTGCCTAGTGCTTAAGCCAGTAAAGAAGCTAATGACAAATATCCATGAAAAAGTGCTCTAGGTATTTCTGAATATTAGAGCCACAGCAACGATGCCTCTGGCTCCCCGTTGTCGGTTTGTAATGCCTGTCACCGGAGGAGCTCGGGGCACTTAGCACGGCATTTCCCCGCGGCTACTTGGGATTATTCCCACTGTACAGATGAGGAAGGCGGGAGGCAGAGGGGATGCTCCAAGCACAGCCTCTGCTCTGCCGCCCCTCATGCCGCTGCCTGCGGTGAAGAGGACAAGATCCCCTGTGAGCACAAAGAGGGCTGTGAGGACAGGACACGCCTGGCTGGGGCGGGATGCCCAGCTGCCCCCGGCGCTCGGCGACTTGCGCGGGAGAGCGAGCAGGAGACTTCTTTAGCCAAATAAAATGACAGAGCTGAATAAATGGAGAGCAGATACTTAGTTAAGGAGGCCGGGGTGCTCCCAGAGCGGAAGCTTTGTTCCAGGGCGAGGAGAGGAGGCAGGCAATGGGAGATGCAAGGGAAGAGCAAGTGAGAGCCACGAGGAGGTGAAAAGGATCCTCCGTGCCAGCTGAGGAAGGACTGGTGAGGGAGAGAAGAAACAGCTCTCATGAGGGATGACTGTGGAAGGATAGACATAAGGCGTGCTTGGGTTTGGGGGATGATGGCAAGGACTTGATTCCTTCTCCATTGTGGAGGGGAGCCCGGCTACGAGGTGGGGAGCAGGGGGTGCATTGATCCTGGCCCCCTCATCGCTCATCTCCTACCTGATCACACTGAGCCGTCAAAAGCCCCATGGAACTCTCAACAAGCTTGAAGGGAACTGTAGAAATGTTTAGATTTTATTGTTCTCTGATTTTTTTTTAATTCTTTTTACCCAGTTTGAGTGCCCTTCTCAGAAACTGATTCATAAAAATGGTAATTAAATTTTAACTGAACAGTTACTCCCTGACCACTGCCTTGCGGTTTGCAAAGTGACTTCAGCAGACTAATTTTGGAGTAGGATGCTTTGCCCTGTGACACGGCACTCCAGTCCGAGTGATTCTCTGTAATTACCTCAGTCCCTTCAGCTCATTACAGTAAAATGTGGTTCCGTCCCATTAATTTCAGCAGGCATTGCGGTGCCCGGACGTGTGCCAAGCGCGGCATCTCCCAGAACATTACCGGCTGACAGAGGCATCTCTCACCCTTTTCAGATATCGAAGATATTTGTTCTCTGCCCTCAGTGTAAAATAGTTTGGCGGGAAGTACTGGGAGAGCAATCTAAGCCTTAAAATAGAAAGGCATACCCAAGTGAAGACCTTTCTCAAGGAGGAAAAGCAACTTTTAATTAAAAAGGGGGAGGGGAAGAATTAGCAATCCTCTCCTTTAATACATCAACACATGGAGTATGTGCAATATGGGTAATAAAACTCTTCCAGGGACACTTTCAAGGTTGACAGATTCCAAATTAAATCCACCTTAAAAGTACTTAAGCGATTTTTGATGCATTGTCACCTTCCCACACGACATGGCAGCTTCTTTCCTGCGTAACACAGGGAAAGCACAAGCTTTGCCTGGAGGAGGAGGATGGAGCCGGGACTAAAACGGCGCATGCTGGGCTGGGCCTTCGTGCCGCAGCCCAGGCAGCGTGCGTGGGGCCATAGCTCTCCTGGATGCGGAGGTGCCTACGCACGCTCAAACTCATTTTCCTCCGCAGACGATTTCTACCCGAACAGAAAGTGCGAAGGGTACGAGATGTGCACTAGCACAAATCTATTGGGTAGCATTGCTGGAAAAGAGAATTCACAAACTTCTAAATCCTCGGTGATATTCGCCTTGCAAACAATTTAACAGCCAGTCCTAGTTTTTTCCAATACCAGCTTATATTCTTTCTGAGATGAGTGTGTCCTGAGAGACTAGGCTTGCTGCTATTTCAGGAGGTCCAGCATCAAAGAAGTGGCTTTTGCTCTTTCCCGCCCACTCTAGGCAGCCCGTAGCATTTACTGCCTTAAATCCCACACGCCGGGCTTCCACTTCCAGCAGCTTTCCTGCCTGCCAGCGCTGTGACTCGGCCCGGCAGAGTGGGTTAGTGACCCGCCTCCAGCCGGGTTTTGCTCCGTCCATCCCGGGGCCTCGAGGTGAGAGCGGCTTCTCCTCATGAGTAGGCTCTTCAGTGTCTTGGGAAAGAAAGCTTTCAGCTACAGTTGGCATTTCTGATCTCTCTGTTGGCTGCTGCCCAGCCTGCTCAAATGTCACATCATTTGTGCCATTGACAGTGGGAAAGCTTTTATATAAGGGAACATAAATTAGTTTCAAAAGTGCTTTAACTGTCATAAAACGTCTTTATGGGTAGCATTTAGTCTAAACAGAAGATCCCAAATGTCTATGTCAATTATATGGGTTGTTTTTCTTAAATACTGCAAGTTATAATGTTCTCTTTTCTTTACATTTTATTACTTTATTCCAGTATGGGGGAACTTTTTTGTTAAGTTGAGCTTGTGTTTGTCATTTCTCAACTTTCACAGTTTTATGTGAGATTGAGAAGTAACTCCCCTTACATCAGCAGAGTCACGTAGCCGCTGGCAGCGATGCCTGCAGTGGCCCCAAGCCTGAAAAGCTGCCTGAGGTCCAGGAAATCTAGAGTTAAAGCCAACTTACTTCCATTATTTTAAATGCATTTAAAGTGGTATCGGGTGCCTGGACATCTGTAGCTAATCCACTTCTACATTTCTAAGGTCCTAGCCACAAGGTGAGTACTCGCAGTTTGAAGTAGGAGAGTGGGTGACTGTCAGCCCTCATTTAGGCAGGGAGAAGGGGCCGGTGGAGCTGAGCGTCGGGCAGGGGATATCAGAGGAGGGGGCCAAGGTTACAGATCAAAAAGTGACCTTGCTAAAGCAGTCCGCTCATGCTAATGCAAGCAGGTAATAATTCTGACTGAAAAGCAAACCCTTTTGCTTTAGGGAGATGAAAGGAAATTCCCAGGTTATTCTGTGGATGAGATCAGGTAAACAACTTGATTTTTGCAGAAATTTGCCATTTGCGCAGTAAGATAGCTGAGGAACCATACCTTCAAAGGTGGGACCATAAATTGACTCTCCTCCGTCTCCCTTTCCAGTTATGATGTCTGCAGGGTAGATAAAAGTAACCATCAGAGACCAGCGTTATCACAGGGGGTTGTCAGTGAGCAGCTCAGCCGAGGTCAGAGACGTGGGTTGCGCATCAGCCTGGGGGAACAACGGCATCCATCTTTCTGTTTTACTACTGAAAATTTATCAGACCTTTGGGAAGAGCTCTGCTTCTGTCCCAAGAGACGGACTCTCTATGGAGAACTATTTCATACGGCGCATTTAATCGCTGCCCCTCTGAGAAGGTCCAGCATCTTCTGCTGGGAGAGCTCCTGCGGTGGCAGCGGCCAGCCGAGGAAGGGGTGCCCTGGAGAAAGACGCCTGTCGGAGGGAGCAGGGTTAGAAGAAGGATGAAAATGCAGCTGTGATATTATGGTGAGTTAAGACCACTACCTTGTCTAAGAAAAGAGATTTGATAAGAGAGAAATTCCTATTGAACCGGATTTCTAATGAGTAAGGCACTAAAGAAACCCGATGCATCTATTTTTTAAAATTTTTTTTAAAGAAGTCTGGTTTTGTTACTTTATTTAGACATTGTCTTATACCAGTCAGGCTATGGTTAGTCCTTTACAGTAGCAAGCTTGTAATTTTAGGTTGCTTTTATGGACTACATAGTTATCTGCATAGTTATACATGAAAAGTAGGAGGTGTATCTTCAAAGTATAAACCTGAACTGGATTTAAGCACTCACATTTGGAGCAAGGCAAACACAGGTAAGAAATACAGGTAGGTAAGATGTATGATAGACCAAAAGGGAGTAGCAAAGGAAATGCCTTCTGATAACACCTAACTGTCTCGACTTCCCTGGGGATGTCAGTGGGGCAAGCTGTGTGACCCATCGTTCGTGGTGCTTTCTCCTCGGTGCCACACTCCAAACGTAGCACTGATGTTCAGAAAACTCACCAGCACGTTTGCAAGGGCTCTGACGCTTGGCTAAATGCCTCCGTAAGTTAATCTCTCTATAAAGCAAGTAGTATGTTTTCCTATGGCTATTCTTAGTGTTTTCATGTTTCCAATTAGTTTCCTAACTACTTACCAAAGAACTTCATGGAAAAGAGTTTTAATGTTTTCAATTAGTTTCCTAAATTCTTTTGAAAAGGTCTTGGGTAATCAAAAGAACAAACTATCCAAACTTTTCCTATGTTTAGAAAGTGAGATGGCTAAAAGAGAAAAAGTTTTCTGGTTTTTATATATATATTAATTAAGAGATTAGCTTTGTCCTGGAGTTCAGTTATGTCTCCGTGGATGAAGACTGTTATTCATGCAGATCATCCCCCCTCCTTGTGCTGTAACTCGGTTTTACTCAGGACACCTGGAAACGCACCTCCTCCTTGGATCCACCCGTTTTTCACAAGGCGATGGAAAAGGGAGTTTTTGTAGGTGAGCTCTCGGCCGTCGCGGGGAGACGTTGCTCCTCCGGCGCACAGGGCGCGGAAATTCTCACAGGTCCTGGGACACGCATCCGAAAAGAGCTGCAAAAGCGAGAAGAGGAAAACACGTGTGGAATTCATGGCTGACAACGTGTGAAATTCCTAGCCGACGTCCACTGGCCAGATTTCTGTCGCCCCTCCTTCGGCAGGTGAAACCACCGCGCTGCGTGGACTTGTTCCTCGCTTTTGCTTTTCTCCTCTGTAACGTACCTCAAAGAGCAGCCTCCCGACGGGCTGTTCCTCAATGGCTATCTCCAGGTACACAAACACGTGCTGTTTAAAGCAGAAAAACGAATGCAGTGAGGGAAAGGCCAGCTCTCCGTGCCCGTGCTGCACTCGCTTCCTAACGCAGGCCAGCGTCCAGCTACCCGGTGCAAATGGTCTCAGAAAATGCCCGTGGGATTGTCAATGCACAACAGCATTCCTACTATTTTGTTTAAATAGACAAAAAAGTAGAGGATGTTTCATTTCATTCTGGGCAGAAACAATCCTAGCAGTGTGTTAAAGCTAACTACTGGGCAGGGCCTCCTTCTTCCTCTTGCATTTACGTACATTGCCTGTTGCAGCCCATACAATACAGGCAGGAATAAATGAATCCGCAGGAATACCCGCCACCCCACCAAAATGGACATTTCTCGCTCTTCCCAGCCAGCCTCAAATCTGCATGTCACCGATGCCGTATCTTCTGCGTTACTCATTTTAGTATGTCATTTTATTTTTCTCTGCTCTCACTACTGTGTCAGCGCCAGCCGCATCACACCTCATGACACCATGGCATTTCAGGGGGTCTCGGCTGGGAAAGGAGAGGTTTGGTAGCTGGGCTTTTGGTACCCAAGAATAAGGGTACCCAAAGGCTGGGCGGTTTGGGATTTTGGAGCAGCACGGTTGCAGCATGGTCAGCAATGCGCTGCTGTTGGACTGTTCCGCCCTGAAGCAGTTAATACACGTCGGGCATCTGGGCTAGTGTTTGTCCCTTCCTGGCTGCGGAGAGGTGTCCTCGTCCTCCTGTCCTCGTCCTTGGCAGGGGACGCTCCCGGGCTGGGAAAGGAGAGGTTTGGCAGTTGGGCTTTTGGTACCCAAGAATAAGGGTACCCAAAGGCTGGGCGGTTTGGGATTTTGGAGCAGCACGGTTGCAGCATGGTCAGCAATGCGCTGCTGTTGGACTGTTCCGCCCTGAAGCAGTTAATACACGTCGGGCATCCGGGCTAGTGTTTGTCCCTTCCTGGCTGCGGAGAGGTGTGGAGGCTTTGCTGTCCTCGTCCTTGGCAGGGGACGCTCCCGCCGGCCTCTCCGTCCCCAGCTCTGGCCCTGCCATCGCAGGGCAGAAACCAAGAAACTGCCACCGCTGTGCTCGCTCTCCTTCCTCCTCGTGGTATGTGCCCTTTCATCGCACAACCTCTCCGGCCACTTACAGACCTTGTACTCTTCTCGTAAAACAGTGCTACTTGCCTGGCTGTTTTTCAGATATTTGGTGTAGAAATCCTCAGCAATCGCTTGGTAAAGTGCCTCGGGCTTAAAGTCGCGATAGTCCCACTCATGGTAAGACCACTTGAGCAGCTCCTTCTCGTCCCCCAGCAGCTGGCCACCAACGAAGCACATCACCGAGGAGGCATATGCCCACACCTCACCTCTCAGTTCCTGCGTTTCAGAGGGACAACATAAAGCCTCCAGGGATTATTTACACCTTTAGTGAAGAAGCAATCAGTAATAATCCACCACGCCTGTGATATTTTTATGCCTTTCCTACTTTTCAAACCGCAAATCCCGCCAACGGGAAGGGATTGGGCAGCAGCTTTCAGTGAGGTGTGCTGATGCCACATGCAGTTACGTGCCCTAAAGGTCTGGATCCTGCTGCTACGGGACATTATCGTGACGACAGTCACGTGGGTGTCACTTTGGGGGCAGCTCAGACTGAACAGGAGAAGCTCCCGCAGAGCCCCATCCTGCTCCAAGGGTCTCTGAGGCCACTAAATAAAGCGGAGTGGAAAAGCCCACTTCCGAAATCTGCGGATGGCACCGAGCTGCGAGACGCTGCAGCCCCGGGGAGAGGACTTGTGTCTGAAACAACCTGAGGAAACGAGAGTTACCTTCTTTTTCTCCTGTAAATATTCATGCCATGCAAATTCTACTAAAGGCTGTATTACAGGATCTGCAAACTTGCTCGGAAACTTCAGCTTCAGAGCCTAGATTTTTAAGGTAAGGACAAAAAATTGCTTACAAGCAGTTTAACACCCACACACACACCCCCATCCTATCACAGCTTGTATTTTCCTCATGAACTACAACCTAAACCACATTCTAATCCAGTTATTGCACTGCACCCCTCATGCCTCCGGCGTAATTCCCGACACTTGCAGAAGTACACGCAAATCGTTCTAAATCCCTGTTTGCAGATGTAGTGGGTATCTTGTTTTTCTATGAAGGGCTGATTCACAAATATTACTGAATTATACTGGTACTCCCCCCCAGCTCCCACATGAGATGGATGTAAGCAGTGAGATATTCAAAGATGTCTCTGAGCATCATCACTGCATTTTTGCATGCATTTTGCAGGCATGGGGAGTTGCAGTCCTCTGCTGTCCCAGGAGATTGGGCCCAGGGCCTCGGAGCACACAAGTGGCTCAGTGAAAGCTGCAAGGTGAACGTTTCCAGTCCCTGTTGCTTGTACCATTGCCTCAGGAGCACACCGCTATTTAGATACGGGACATTCCTGTCCATGGATTTAGCCTCATCTCCATGTGGGCTGTACACACGTGCCCCAAGCTGGGGCTTAAAGCCAGCCCAGCTGGCCTTAAAAAGAATAAAGCAAAGAAGTGACTTTCTATTCAGCTCCCAGTCGCTGCTGCTATCGTTGGATCAGTGGCTGGAAAAAAAAAGGAAAAAAGCCAAGAGGCACGCTCCCCCTGCAGCTATCGGCTTGGCTTGTCCTTAGGGCTGCTGATAGATGGCAGAGCTTTGTCAGCTGTAAATAATGCTGGGGAACAAGCCTGGCATATAAACTCTTATGGGCAGCGAGGGCATAAAGGTCAGCTTTGTGCACCCCACGTTGGGCTGTGTGCTGTGCATCCGCTGCACGGCTGAGCTTCTCATGAAAAGTCTGCGAAACCCCGTGAGGTTTGCAGCTCTTTTCTTTCTCATCTGCACCGACAGAGCTGCGTTAAGGGACTTGTCATAAGCTGCCGAGCAAGTCGGGCAGAGCTGCGATGTGCATGACATCTTATACAGCACCGCACAGCTGTAAAATTTCTTGGCAGTGTACAAACAAGGAGGCGAGGACGCTGCAGTGGAGACCCCCGCCCCGAGCAGCGCCGAGCCGGGAGCCCGTGAAGCCTCGGTGCCTGCGCCTGCACCTGGTAGCGCTGAAGAAGAGCAGAAACCCAAAAATCAGAATATTTTCTTCCTAAAAGCCACCGCCGGGCGCAGGCATACCTCTGCTTATTTACTTCCCAGCCCCCACCGCTCCCTGCTGCTCCCAACCCAGCTCCGGGGTTGGAGCCTAGGGGTTACCTCTGCTGCACACTTGGCCACGTGGGCAGCCGGGTGCCGGAGCAGCCCCACCACCGCCACCGTCACCACCGCCCGCCCTTTTATAAGCACTTCCCAAGCCTAACGTAAGCGGGTTTCAACCCCGTGGGAGGGTGGGAAATGCTGATTTCTGTTCTTCTAAGCACTTCCCAAGCCTAACGTAAGCGGGTTTCAACCCCGTGGGAGGGTGGGAAATGCTCTGATTTCTGTTCTCCCCTGAAGGAAGGAAAACCGGATTAGAGGGAAGTGTGTGGCAGAGCAGAGGACTGAAGCCAGCTCTTTCCAGAGCTCATGACAGATGCTGTCAGTACGGGATCGTTATCTTGTTGCTAACGGTGGCTAATAGCAGATGCCCAGCAAAAAGTGGCAAGAATAAGCAAACGTGACAGCAGCGCTTCCCCGTCACTCTCCCAGCCTCCGGTGAGCCTCTGCTCAAGGATTTCCCGGTATCTTTGCATTTAATTCCCCTTGGTGGCTCTTTTTCAGGTGAATTTCTTTGCTTTTCAAACATATGTAAAAATCCAGCACCCACAAAATCCCGTGGCAATGAGATTTACGGCTTAATTACACCCTGTGTAAAGCGTGCATCTCCTTTTGACGCAGAAACTCCTACCCACAGCTGTATTCGCTGGGTGCTGCTGAGACATCATTCCCACCGTCAGCCCGGACGGAGCGGTACGGGGCACGGACGGAGCGGTTCCAGAGGGGTCATGGCTCCCACAGCAAAGCTTTGTGCCACGGTGGCAGCTTTGCTCCCTTTTGGCTAACGCAGCATGTGCAGAAGCGGTTTTGTGGGACAGCTGTAGGTTCAGCACAGGCTTCTGTCAGCACGGCTGGGTCAGGTCGCTTTTCCTCTCCGAGCAAGGTGAATTTTAGGAGACGCTGGTGTTAAAAGTGACAAAACCGAATTGCATGTCACGTCAAGAATTTGCCTAATTTTTCATGACATCACGGAGCAACGCAACCATCGTCACATCCCCAGGAAAAATACATCTTTAGCATGTCAAAATCCTATTGCAGATGAGACAGTTGTGATTTTCCTACGAAAAATATGTTCTGCAGAACCTACGTTAAATACCACAAAAACTATATTAATTTCTCCTCTTAATAGTGATGTGCACTCTTTTTTTTTTTTTTTTTGCAATTGTATATCAAAATGGCTTTATAAAGTGCTAAATTTGTACCTAACCACAGAGTCGGAACCAAAAAGCTTATAGCCTCTCAGCTCGATGTTTCTGAACTACCCATGCCCGTAAAAAATTCAGACTGAGAAAGAAATCGCAGGTTGCAGAAGGGCTCCCCCATGCAGCCCTGAAGTTTCTCTGGCCCGTGTGTGGCTCAGTGACATTTTCTTACAGCGATTCATTAGGGGCATCTCTTTTGTAATGATTTTGTTGGGATTTGCAGCAATGTTGGATTTGAAGAGCTCCATCCTTGCATTACCAAAGACTGCAAAGACGATCAGACTCTGAGGGTTTAGCTACCACATCTGCTCTCTTGCCTGAAAGACCCGTGCACAAGATGTTGTAATTTCATGTTACGATTTCTTCCTGCTTAAAAAAAAAAAAAAAAAAGAAAATTGAGGGAGATGAAACAGTTTGGACAATGGGACGTATTAAAATCCTGTGGTAGACAAGGCAGTTTTAACTTACACACAGGTACTGGGTGGCAGCAGGCAAGCCGAGGTGTGACCGTAGCTGACCGCAGCAAGCAGCGTGTGCAGCTGCAGCTACGTTTTGTAGGCTGTGACTGAGCGGTGCAAAGGAAAGCCTTTTTCCTTCCTCCTCCCGAGGGCCGGCGCGACGACTGCCGGAGTCTCTGCAGGCTGTGACAAGCAGAACCTAATTTTAGCAGCCAGACCATATGGCTTCTGCCGTAGCCAACAAAAGCCTGTGGGAGCCTTAGGTAAAGTCAAAAAGAGAAGCAGCATACCCAGAGTCAAATACAAAATCAGTAACGCTTCAGAAAATATTCTCTTCGCTACCTATTTTTCTCTACATCCATATTTTTAGCCTGATAGAGATTAATACAACTGAAGTTTATTTGGCCTTTTAAAATGTCTCTTTCCTCCTTTTTGTACTACAAAACATAAGTATTAAAACCAGAGCAATCCACTGCATATTATTTTCAAAAAAAGATTGATGTCTGCATTTCGTAAATGTGCTTAAATTTACACACAAATTCTGTTCCTGAAATTTAATTCTGCACATACATACGACTGGCTCCTGTTACTCCTTTTTCTTTTTTTTTTTTGAAATATTTAGCTGGGGTTTTTTTTTACTGATAATTTCTAGGCTTGGAAATTCTTACTGTCATTGTGGGCAAGAAAGGGAATTAACTATAAACATGCTGCTAATCGTCAACTAACAGTCAAAGTCAAGAAGAAAAGCAACAATTACCCAAACAAGCATAATATTATTAGCCAACAAGCCAGTAATATCACTAGCTGTACAGGACTGTTTTCTGCAAATTTATGAGGGTTTTTTTTAAAAAAAAGAGCAAGCCAAGAGCCACCGATTACTTGCTGTCTCTATCCATTCTGGCTTTTATTTCTCCCCTTCTTTTTGCATCACTTTGTAATTCAGGTACCTTAAAATCTATTCAACAGGTTGCCAATTATCAAAACTATATATCTCAAAATCTTAAACTGGATGATTTTTATTCATTTCAGCCTCTTTCTGCTACCTGTTTATGACGATATGATGTTGTTCTGCAAGCTTACTCGTATTTCTTAGATGAGCATAAAAGTTTTGCTGCTGTTAAGAGTTAGAGAGGAGTTTGCTGGTACCGCTGTGCTCCGAGAGCTGCGGGTGCCGTGCCGTGCCGTGCTGTGCCCCATTCGGTTTGCAGAGAGCGACGGTTACCGTGAAGAAAAGTATGGAAAGCACAAGAAGTTGTACAGCACATTTAAACAACGATACCGAAACCCTTCCAAAGGCCGGGCAGCTAATGTTCCTGGAAACATGAAGTCCTTTGAAACATGTATATGTGCCCTGACATGAGACCCGAGAGTTTTGCTTCTGCGGGATTGTCAGATGGTTTCCTTGCTCCAAACCTCTCGACCTGCTGCGGCTGCGGCCACTTCAGTTCCTTTCAGTCCAAGATAGCATCTGAAAGAGACTGAGAAAGAGAACAACAAGGCAGATTGGATTAATTAAACAAACCCAACACTTGAGGGAGAGCCCCCATGCGAAGGTACTCTGGCAGGAGAGCTGATAGGGGTCATCCAGTGACATTTTGGTGAAGGGTGAGTCAAAAGACTACAGCATCACCCTGCTGAAAGCTGCGTAAAGAATAATGCTGTGCTTGTTGAAGACGCAAACGTCAAATAACTTCACAGCAAATACCTGGAGAGGAAACATTGCACAGCTTATCTGCTGAAGCTGCTGAACCACAACAGCGTGCTGTGATGACTAGGGGGAGAGCCACCACTGCTGTTTCGCTCCAGGTCCTTGGGCTGCCACAAGTCCTTTCTGACAGATAGTATGCAGCTGTTAGGTCACCCAGCAGTCGAAGCAAACAACGCAGGAGACTTCAAAAAAGGTCTTCCTACTGCCAGACTGAAGGACAGATTCAGCTCCAGAAAGAAGGAAGACCTCCATAAACTTTGTCTTCCAGGTGGAAGGCAGAAACTGACATCGCTTTATCAAGAAATTTAAAGCAAAGCCAAAGGGATAACCTGATTTTGAAGATGGCAATATACTAATGGGGCTGTCCACAACAACCTGAGGTTCTCAGGTGACTGCTGTAATAGCCACGAGGCATGCTGCCTTCAAGGGCAAGGAGGATCCAGTGGTCTGAAGGGAAGACCCATGAACACATCTGAGAATCGGTCCCCTTCAGGAATGCACAGACAGTGGGCTACAATTGCGGTTGTCAGAAAAACTTGCAGGACAGAGTGGGGAGTTGCTAACTAAAGCAAAGCTCTGTGTCCTGCTATTCCAAAGATACATTCCATTAGGTAGGATTATAATGTTAGCCAGAAATGAGCAGTAAGCATACTACAGTGAGAAGCTGGTTCACCTAGAATATGCCTGGATGTTTTTTTCCATTCAGAAGAATTGCTTGGGCCAGAGATGAACAGCAGTCTGTCTGTTGCAGAAAACCATTCATTGTTTGCCACGTTTTACGGAGGATCTGAAAAGGGTGGAGCACACAGGACTGTCGTAGCTCACAGGACTGTCATAGCTCACAGGACTGCAGGCCTGCAAGAAGCAGACTCTTTAATGCCTCTAACGATAGATAAGAGGTCCTGAAACCATAGCTATGGCAGATACAGCATTGCCAGTTCTTTCTCCGCTCTTAAAGAAAACCTGCAATAGCAGTAGGATTGGGAAAAAGCCTGCACAGACGGACTTCTGACCGTGGGAAGATAAGCGTACCCAGGAAGCACCCGTGACTGCTGCCTGGACTCCGGGGCACACCTGCTCTGCAAGGTGTGTGTGCGTGCTGGTCTCCTCCCAGCCACTCCCAAGTCAGACTCAGCTTCTCCTGGATGTGGACACTTACAGAGCCAGTGAGAGAGCCTGCTGCAGAGAAGGAAGACGTGGGGAGACAGAAAATGTACCAGGCTGCTATGCCCACGTGGGCATTGGGCTCATGATTAGGAACGAATCCCATGCTAGCTCTCATTTAAGGTGAAGTGGGAAAAGACTGAAAAAAAAAAATCCCAGCACACTAGGATAGGTCTTAGCAAACACCAGCCATGAACTTGATCATGATGACTAACCAGCTAAGACAGTAAAACAAGCGTTTCACAAATAAAGAGATGCAAGCAGAACTCCTGGCTGAATGACTGGCAAGATCGATGCCAGGCTCAACACCCCAGCTTAACCTGTGAATAAGTATTCAGTTTGAAAGAGTTCATGGTGAAGCAGTCATCTCCTCTTCCACTTAGACACTAGGAGGCAATTGCTGTAAAGCCCCTAGTAGTGCTTTTTTAGTCCCCGAGCAGAAAAGAGAGCATGTAACAAGTATTAAAAAACCCCCCACCTTGCAAAGTAACACATGCTAAGATGAAGCTTCTCCTACTGGCAGGATAATTTGCTTTCACGGCTCATAAGAAATAATCTGATATTCATCTATCAAAAATGAGATGCTGGACTGGAAGGCCCACCGGTCTAATCCACGCTGCCAGCGTCTCGGCTTCCACGCACAGAACAGCAAACTCTCTTGAACTTTAGAGTGCCGAGGTCAAGAAATGCTATTTACAGCTAAACCATGAATATCATTGGCAAGCGGAGCAAGTGTACACACAGTAGTCAAATACACGCTTAACACGGCGTGTTTGCTCTACCCCTCAGGAATTTGTTTCCACTTTCACCTGGAGAATCAGCCAAAATCTTCAGAAAAAGCCAAATTTTCATAAACTTGCATTTGAAAAAAGAATAGTAAAATCCTTTTAGAGTTCAACTACACAGGGTAACTCACAAATGGAGTAGAAGAAACACACAACGGTGTTAATTGCTCACAAAAATGGATCTTTCTGTAGTCTACTTTCCTGCGTTTATGTCTAAAATCCTAATCTCATTTTAACATAGTAAGCAGTGAGATGGATTTGCTAAGAAGGTTACTCTGTGAGAAAATGAGAAGTTAAGGCATTTGCTGGCTAAGGAGTAAAGATATTTAGCGAGCTGCTTTGAAACGTAGTTTTTAAGGCATGCATTTTTTTGCTATATAGTTCTTAGTGGCAGCGGGACTAAACAGCAAAGCTGAAAGGGTTTCCTTTCAAATTCAAAGCAAACCTAGGCTTCAGTTGCAGCCTTAAATATGCACACACAGAAGAGGGATTTATTTTCATCTTTAATAGAAACGCGTTCACTAGGAAGGAAGCAAATGGTGTCAAAAAAGCAACATTTGTGGTATGAGAAACCACGTGAGCTTCTCGTGTGCGAGCTACAATGTGTGCCGAGAGCTTAAGCAACGCAAGGTGCAAGATGAGTCACTGCTGTGCTATTCACAGAAGCTCGTTTCTTCACTGGTGATGTGGTAGAAAAGCATAAGAAAATTCCAAACCCAAAACTTCACTCCTTTTAGTTATAGGGAAAGCATCAAGCAATCAGTATGTGCTGGTGGCTCAAGCGTAATTGTAGCATCATACTTAATCCTGCAAGAACGTCATAATGAACAAATCTAAGTTCAAAAAAAAGGAAAGTATTTAAGTTATTTTACTGGTAGTCTTAGAATTTAGCTTGTAACCAGCTTTTAAGCATTTCAGGATTCGTAAGTACATGGCAGAGAAGGAACTCAGTGCAAGCTCCTGCAAACTTACAGTATTATGGCCGCACATTACAGTATTTCAACTAAAATCAAAGTTGTTAGGATGAAACCTCCATAATATTTATCGTAAATTTAAATTTATACAATTGATCAGTAAGATTTTCATAATGTCGTAACAAGCTTCACTTGCATTTTTACATCTGTTCTTGCAGCATCAAGATTTCAAGCTTCTGAAGTGCAACTGCAGAATATACTGGTTCTTTTTGGTGGCAGAAGTATACAAACTGCAATTCTCCATTCCGAGAGGAAAAAACAAAAGATGAAAAACCTAACTAGAGTTTTGCTGTGGGACATTTTTTTTTTTTTTACATTGATTTATTCCCACTGCCTACCCTTTTCATGATCCATTTGTATAAAAACGGATCTAGTACTTTGACAAAATGGAGCTACTTACCCAAACTCCAGGAGCACACGGTCGGGAGCCAGCCGAGTAGTCTAGACTTGAACAAGGAATGTCGTCCAGAATTTGGGCTCCCCAGAACAAGACAGAACTGACATACTGGACTGAGGGCAGCAGAAGGCTGCCAAGGTGATTAAAGAGCTGGAGCACACGATGGAAAAGGCTGAGAGAGCTGGGCTTGTTCAGGCCTTAAGAGGAGAAGGCTTTGGGAGGACCTTACTGCGGTCTTCAGCTACCTAATGGGAGGGTGTAGAGAAGACAGAGCCAGACACTTCTTGGAGGCGCAGCAGTAGGACAAGAGGCAGCGGACACAAACTGGAACATGGGAAATTCCAACTAAATACAGGAAACATTTTTTTCCCGGCCAATATGGTCAAACACTGGAACCGGTGGCCTACAGAGGTCGTGGATCTCTGTCCCTGGAAGCGTTCAAAACTCAACCAGACAACAGCGACATGATCTAGGCGTACCTGCTTTGAGGCAGGTGATGGATCAGATGGCCTCTAGAAGTCCCTTCCACCCTAAATTCTTCTATCATTCTATGCACTGGGCTTTTATGCCAATGACTCTCTCTGGGCAGTCATATAAGCCAAGCACGTACAAAGATTTTTTGTTTTGCTTTTAAGTTCACCTGCTAACTCCTTCATTTTTACATTTTTCATTTGTTGAAACATAAAATATCAAAGTAAATCACAAGTATGACATTTTAAAACGGAAGTGATGATTGAGCACGTTGCTTTAAGCACCAGTGGCATTTCATCTGGATTTTAACACACTAGTACACTATGGGAGATGTTACCAGCAGCCAAACTTGAAAATGCAAAGCGTGTATTCTGGCATGGCATTTTATTAAGATGTCGAATCTTTTGTGTTAGCAGTCAGTCAGTCAGTCATTGAAAACAATCTGTACACATCTAATCTAGTCAGCGAAAACAGCTGTACAACTTCAACACGATATGCCCCATTTATACAGCTCATTATGCTCTGAAATGATTCTAGTCATTGTTCAAGTCCCCACAAAAACAATTACCAGCTTTTACATATATTAAAAGTACCATTACATTCTGCTCTCAAAAGTACAAAAAAAATAACAGTTTAAATATACACTGGCTCCTAAGCTTAGACTGAGTCCTGTCAGGAAGAGACTTTTGCACTTCAATAGACAGTGCCTTCAACATCAAGAGCTCTTCAAAGTGCTTGGCAGACCGCGTGAACGCTATCCCCACTTACTAGATGATGAAACTAAGGCACAGAGGTCAACTACCTTGCTCACGGTCACACAGAGAGTGAGCGGTAGAACTAACAGAGCAGAATTTGGGCTTTCCTGTTGTCCAGTGTAACCACCGCATCTCATTGCCACTATTCAAGTGCAACGGCTAAAGCCTTTCTGAGGAGCAAAACTTGTACAGCATACAGTAAATAGAAGGGGCGATCCAGGGCCAGTCAAAGGCTGCAACAGTTTCAACCCAAACCAAACATATCTGGTAGTCAATAAATCAAAATGCACTTAAGGGAACGATCACATAGAAAATTTTACATTAACCTGCAGAAAGCAAGCTCATTAAACGTAAGACACATGGTGTTAGCTTTGCAAAAAGTATCGGTTATCTTAAGCTTGACAGTAGTTCAGGTAACGTTGACTTCATCAGAGAAGTCATACTTTCTGATCAGCAGACATCTTAAACACTGTTCTTCTACCAGCAAGGTACACTTCTCTGGAGACTCACTCAGAAATGCAAATAAGGGCCCAAATATCTCCACAGTAGGCATGCATGTGTATGAGGCACAAAAAACCACATTAATCGCTTGTGAGGTATGGACTAAGTGGTAGAGAAATACCAATCTGGAAAAATAAAAGAGTCCAAAATAAATAAGGTTAAGAAAACTGAAAGCCACCCATCAAAAATCACCAAGAAATGCATTTTCCGACAGATTATGCTGCAGAAAAGAAAGTGCGATACGTGTAATCACTGCCTGGATGAGAAGCATGCTATAGCCTAGCCCTCTGATGACAAATAAGCATTTCAGAAAGCCTGTCCTTGAATAGGATGCTCATGAGATGACTCATTTACTGACAGAGACTGCTGATGGGACTCAGAAACATGTACGCTTTGATTCCGTTCTTCACCGATTTGATGGGAAGGAACCGTATCTTGGCTAGAGTGAGACTGTCGACTTGATTCCTGGGACAACTGCATGTGCTGAGCTGGATGCGAAGATCCTGCTAAGTGGATTTCTTCATTTTGTCCTTGATGAGCATGGAGATGTTCTAGTGCTTCCTTGGAAAGAGTGATGACATGCATTTGTTCAGGTTGGGCAGTCTCTATTTGGTTTGCAATCATATTGATACTTTGGATTTGTTCCGCTTGCTCCTGCTGAGCTGAAAGCAACAAGTTTTGCAACTGCTGTGGAGGCTGAGCAAGCAGCGTGAGGTTAGCAGCCTGCTCTGTTGTCATATTTGGGGCGTTTTCTGCAGTAACAATACTAATGCCTTGATTATGACTAGGCATGAAGTTTATATTATGTACTGCATCTGTAACCAGTAGTTGAATTTCCTGCCCTCCAGAGGTGGCAAGTTGATACTGCTGCAGCTGAAGAATGTTTCTCACTTCTGAGTTAGTGTTGGTGCTTGGAGCAGCGCTGGCTTCCTGAAACTGCTTTTCCTTGCTATGAATTTTCAAATGAGACTTCAGGTTGTCCAGACGAGCAAACTGCAAACTACATTCTGGGCAAGAGAAAGGCTTTTTGCCTGTGTGTAAGATACAGTGTCTTCTCTTAGCACTGGAATCAGAGAAGGATTTTCCACATATACCACAAGAATATGGCTTTTCTCCTCTGCAAAAGAATGTGTTTGATCTCATTAAAATATTCACTTTGACAGTGCTGCTTTCTGCAACTTATTATACAATTAAAAAAATGTAAATTATTATTTTGTTTTGCTAAATCATAAGCACTTAAGAATAGCGACGTTAAAAGCGTTCTCTATTTGACTTCCTAATTATTTCTATTTGATTTCACAAACTGTACTGTCATTACTATACACTCAAGAACTACAGAGATAACATAACTGCCCTCCTGTCATAATACCAGAGGTACAAAGTCTATGCTCCTAGACCTTGACAAGAATGCCACAACTTACTTTGCACAACTGTAAGCACCGACCATTTAAAGCATGTTTATTAACAGTGTGGGCTTTAAAACAAAAAGAAGTGTCCAAATCCTAACTTGCTGCCCGACTCAAAGGGACGAGAAATTTTACTGGAAACACTTTCTTTTACATAAGGCCCACAACAGTTCTCCAGGGATTTAAAAGCTTACGTGCCTTTATGCAATACATCACACTGACATGGGTAAAAGATAACTAATGCTATTAAAGAGACACGATAGACTACAGGGAAACAGGACAATGCTCCAAGAACCTTGTTACACCACGGCTACTGTTCTGCTGTCAAACAAAAATTCACAGCAAAGTTTTCGCATAAATAATATAGCAGTAAGTACACTGTCATTAAACAGACACAATACACAAAAAAAGAATCTTACAGTGTCTTGGCACACTAGTATTTAACAGTGGAGTGCTTTCCACTACCAATTATTTCTTTAAATAGATTAAACAAAAATGTCAATCTTCAACCATCCATTCAAAATACAAACAAGTCCTGACCATTCTCTAATTGAACAAGCACTACCTACAGGTGTCAGATCAGAAGTTACATTTTTAAAGAATGTAATGAAAATTAGACATACTGTACCTGTGAATTCTAATGTGAGTCTGAAGAGAACTTTTAGCTGTAAATGATTTGCCACAAATTTCACAAGTGAAGGGCTTCTCACCTATCAAAAAGAAATCCGACATCACTTTTTACATAGTGCTTCCCATCAATACATTAAAAAACATTTTATATTTTACCATACACAGTATCAAGTGTGTACTGTCAAATCCTCACGCTTCTTCTGTGGGTCAGGACAGGTATCTGAAACTGAATGAACTCACTAGTTAAATGAGGGTATAGTATTTTAACGCACATCTCTGACGTTTCTCCCCTTTGAAGATAAAGAATTAGGTGATCCAAGCCCCCAGAGCAACAAAACACACACCTACGATACAGATGCGGGTGTTCCACGTTGAACAGACAAGTTTGAAAAAGGCTGACCCTGAACTAGTAGGCATTAACGCTAGGCTCACGTGCAGCACCATGCAGATGAGTAAGCCCATATTTCCAAACCTGAAAAGTGAATCCATTGTCTTAACAAGTCGGCTGGCTTCCTATAAGGCTCCATCCTAGGCCTACGATATCCTGGGAACACCAGTTGGAGAAAATTTAAATTATGGAGAGTTGAATAAATTGTGGGTTTGTTGGGTTTTTTGTTTTTGGTTTGTTTTTTTGTTTGTTTTTTTTTTTTTTTTTTTTTTTTAACTCATTTTGTAATTTTTTT